TTTTTTTTTTTTGTATTTTTAGTAGGACAGCGTTTCACCATGTCGGCCAGTTGGTCTTGAAGTCCTGACCTCAAGTGATCCGCCCACCTCAGCCTCCCAAAGTGCTGGGATTACAGGCGTGAGCCACCGCGCCCAGCCCTGATCAATATTTTTTAACATTCTGTGTTTTGCTTGAGAAGTTTTCTTCTTCTATTTTCTATTTTCTGTGTATACAATTTAGCGTATCTGTGAGTATCTTATTTAGGATTATGTACTTTTAGTTCATTTTCTACAAAATTACCTATTAGTGTGTTTCTGATTTATGAAGGAAGTTGATGCATTTTTGGTGACAGATTTTCATAACTTGTTATAGATTCACTGTGAATTACGGCTTTCAGTATTAGAAATGTCCTTCTAGCCAGGCATGGCTCATGCCTGTAATCCCAGCACTTTGGGAGGCCAAGACAGGCAGATCACCTGAGGTCAGGAGTTCGAGACCAGCCCAGCCAACATGGTGAAACCCTGTCTCTACTCGAAATGCAAAAATTAGCCAGGCATGGTGGCACATACCTGTAATCCCAGCTACTTGGGAGACTGAGGCAGGAGAATCATTTGAACCCAGGAGGCGGTTACAATGAGCCGAGATTGTGCCACTGCACTCCAGCCTGGGTATAGAGGGAAACTCTGTCTCAAAAAAAAAAAAAAAAAAGTCCTTCTGTGTCATATTTAATGCGTTTTGCCCTGATTTCCACTTTGATAGCAGGATTGCAGCTCTGGCTTTTTTGTGGTTTCCATCTGCCTGTAATTCTTAAGCTGCTCTGAGGGTGTGTTGGGTGCTGAGATTCACGCAGCTGCCGTTCCCTTGCTTATTGCCACCTTTGTGCATTTGTCTTACAGCTCCCTACCCTTTAGCTTGGATGGAAGCACAGTCTCCCTGGGGTGCTGTAGATCTTTGAGTGTGAGGGGGTGTGTGTCCACATGGCTAGCTCAGTCGCCAGGGCGTGAGCCTCTTCATGGGGAAGGACAGAGTGGCCCACGTTCAGGGCCTGAGCTCTCCCTGTTTGCTGGCCTGCCCTGAATTATCCTGTCAGTTTGCACCTGAGTGAGCAGCTCCTTTCTCAGGGTCAGGCTCAGCCCAGCTCCTTCCCTGGTGTTGGGATTGTTTCATAGTAAACAGCTCAGGTGGTAAAATGGTAACGCAGGGGACCTCTGCCTTCATTTCCGTCCCAGCTTACCAGCTCCACAAGGAGATCTCACCATTTCCTCCTGCATCCAACTCACGTATCTCGTAAAAGTAGAATCAGATCAGAGCCTTATACAAGTCAAATATGAAAAACTGAAAAGCTACAAAATAGTAAAAGCTCTGGGTTGAGCTCTGAAAGCTCAGAAAGCTCAGACTGGGCAGTGATTTGAAACACTTTATAATCATAGCAAACACATGCCATGCTTTAGAAAATACAGAATTGCGGCCGGGCACAGTAGCTCATGCCTGTGATCCCAGCACTTGGGGAAGCCAACGCGGGCGGATCACAAGGTCAGGAGATGAAGACCAGCCTGGCTAACATGGTGAAACTCCATCTTTACTAAAAATACAAAAACCAAACTAGCCGGGCATGGTGTCGGGCGCCTGTAGTCGCAGCTACTCAGGAGCCTGAGGCAGGAGAATGGTGTGAACCCGGGAGGTGGAGCTTGTAGTGAGCCGTGATCGTGCCATTGCACTCCAGCCTGGGCGATGGAGCGAGACTTCATCTCAAAAAAATAAAGAAAAAAAGAAAAAAACAGAATTCCTTAATAAGTTGTTTGCAGCCAGGCACAGTGGTTTACGCCTATAATCACTTTGGGAGGCTGAGGTGGGTGGATCACCTGAGGTCAGGAGTTCAAGACCAGCCTGACTAATATGATAAAACCCCATCTCTACTGAAGTACAAAAATTAGCTGGGTACAGTGGTGCATGGCTGTAATCCCAGCTACTCGGGAGGCTGAGACAGGAGAATCACTTGAACCCAGGAGGCAGAAGTTCCAGCCTGGGCAACAAGAGCAAAACTCCATCTCAAAAAACAAAAAAAGTTGCTTCCAGAGGAAGGGATCAGGAAAAAAAAGTTGTCTCTGATATTACCATGTATTTTAATGAAGAGATGAATTTTATTTATTCAAATTAGAACAAAATTTCTGATTATGAACAATACAGGCTTGTGAACAATTTTGCAAACCTCAACAGAGATAAGAATGAAACTCTGGGCCAGGTGTGGTGGCTCATGCCTGTAATCCCAGCACTTTGGGAGGCCGAGGCAGGCAGATCACCTGAGGTCAGGAGTTGGAGACCAGCCTGGCCAACATGGCAAAAGCCTGTCTCTGCTTAAAGAAAAAAAAAGAAAAAGCTGGGCATGGTGTCACGCACCTGTAATCCCAGCTACTTGGGAGGGTGAGACATGAGAATCGCTTGAACCCAGGAGGCGGAGGTTGCAGTGAGTGAGCCAGGATCATGCCATTATACTTCAGCTCGGGGGACAGAGACTGTGTCTCAAGAAAAGTGAAACTTCCCATCCTCACTAACTTTGCAGCTCCCTGTGGCCCATTGGAGCGGCGCCCCGGCCTGTTAGGGCATTTCTCAAAAGTGATGCCCTGGCAGATACCCTTCTCCTTAATTTAACAAAACCGGCGACAGTTACTTTCTTTCAGTTTGCCATAAGGATTAGTAAATGAGTCCATCACTGAACAGACTCTCTTAATCCTGGTGTTTGACCACAGAGAAGTACGAAGATCTGAGCTCCTCTGACGAGTGCTGCCCTGCTCCTCAGAGACAGAGGCCGTGCCGGAAGAAGGGCGTCAGCATCCACGAGGGACCGCGAGCGCTGGCCAGGATCACAGGCATTGGCCTGGGCGGCAGAGCCCCACGGCCTCGCTATGGTGAGTGGCCCGCGTTTCCCGGGGCTCTTTCTCCCTGCATACCAAGATTCTGTGTTGGCCAGGATGGAATAGCTCTTAGGCTCCTGAAACATGGGTCGCTGGACCTTAGGTGGCAGCGGGATAGGTGGCCCAGCTTTCATGCTCAGGGAGACTCAGGATTGAGTCCACGGATGGAAATGCACTGGTCACAGACTAGCTCTTCTTTTTTGCTAAATCTCCTTGAGTTTCCTTTTCATTGGCTAAATTTAGGAATAGAACTTTCTCTCCTGCAGCAGAAATGTAGCCCGCTCAGATTTCATTCATCACATAGGTGAAACCCTGTCTCTACAAACATGTAGCCGGGCGTGGTGGCGGGCGTCTATAATCCCAGCTACTCAGGAGGCTGAGGCAGGAGAATCGCTTGAACCCAGGAGGCGGAGGTTGCAGTGAGTCAAGATCACACCACTGCACTCCAACCTGGCGACAGTGCAAGACTGTCTCAAAAAAAAAACCAAAAAAAAAAACTGGGGGGCCAGGTGCAGTGGCTCATACCTGTAATCCCAGCACTCTGGGAGGCCGAGGCAGGAAGATTGCTTGGGCCCAGGAGTTGTGAGACCAGCCTGGGCAATGTAGCAAGACCCTATGTCTACAGAAATTTTTGAAAATTAGCTAGATATCATCCCCATGCCTGTAGCCCTAGCCCCAGCTACATGAGAAGCTGAGGTGAAAGGATTGTTTGAACCCAGGAGGTCAAAGCTGTAGTGAGCCATGATGGTGCCATTGCATTCCAGTCTATGTAACAGAGCAAGACCCTGACTCAAAAAAATTTTAGGGGGCAATGATAAATAGCACGTGCTGATTGTAAAAACTTCTCCATAACTAGGAAAATATGTAAAGAAGTAAGTTAGTTCCCCATGGTCCCACCAACCAGTCCTTTGGGTTCTTTTTTGAGACAGGGTTTCACTGTAGCCCAGGCTGTGGTGCAGTGGCACGATCATAGCTCACTGCAGGCTCCAATTCCTGAGCTCAAGCGATCCTCCTGTCTCAGCCTCCTGAGTAGCTGAGATTACAGACGTGTGCCACTGTGCCTGGTCAAGTCAGTCTTTTTATGTAAATGAAGGGGCAAAACTGGAGTGAAATTGCCTGGTATGCATGCCCCCCCTTTTTTTTTTTGGTTTTTGACACGGAGTCTCGCTCTGTCGCCCAGGCTGGAGTGCAGTGGCCGGATCTCAGCTCACTGCAAGCTCCGCCTCCCGGGTTTACGCCATTCTCCTGCCTCAGCCTCCCGAGTAGCTGGGACTACAGGCGCCCGCCACCACGCCCGGCTAATTTTGTATTTTTAGTAGAGACGGGGTTTCACCGTGTTAGCCAGGATGGTCTCGATCTCCTGACCTCGTGATCCGCCCGTCTCGGCCTCCCAAAGTGCTGGGATTACAGGCTTGAGCCACCGTGCCCGGCCTCCATCCCCCTTTTTCTGCTTGGTTTTAGAGGAAGGTAGAGTTAGGTAATTTCATATTATTGCTGTTAATTTTTAGCCCAAGGCCTTTTTCCTTCCTGCTCAGCCAGATCTCTTTTTCGCTGGGGTTGACTGACCCGAGGAGCCCGCTAAGAGCCTATGGTTAAAGGTCATAGGGACATAAAGACACCTGGTTGACGGGTGTCTGTGTGAGGTCATTAGATACCTCCTGCTAAAAGGAACACTAGTGGTATAGTTTTCTCTGGTCAGGCATCTGTACATACAGCTTACCATTTCCTACGTTTTCCCTTTGAAAAAGAGGTTGCTCGGTACAAAGGAGAGGGCCCAGGCTTGACCTGGCTGCCAGCCCTGGCCCCACCACGCACTTGTCTGGGCCACTCACTGACCCTCAGAGCGACTTTTCCACCCACACACCACAGATAGAGCCATGCCAGGTCGCGGGGCAAGTAGGTGAGGTCATGAGCGGGAAGTCGCCTGCCTCCATCCGGGGCCTTGGCCTCTGAGGCGGTGGGGGCATCTGGAACCAGGATCGGTTTCGCTTTGGAGTTCCCTGGGCTTATGGGCTCTATTCTGTACACAGAGCAGGCTCCTCCCCGGGGCTATGTCACCTTCAACAGCAGTGGTGAGAACCCCCTGGAAGAAGAGGGCCTCTGCTGCCGGGACGTCACCTCCCCCATTAACGAGCGGGACGTGGAGAGCAGCAGCAGCAGCAGCAGCCGGGGTATGTGCACCCCCACCCCTGTCCAGCCCGCGGCTCAGGCAGGTCCTGGAGCTCCTGTGTGCCCGTCCCCACTTATCCACTGGGCTTGGTGCTGGGACACAGCCCAGCCATCCAGCAGAGGACAGGCACAGGGGAGGCGTGGGCAGCCCGGGTTCTTGTGAGGAATGGGAGAAGCGTCTGTTCCAGCGTCCCCATGCAGCTTGGGGGAGCCACTGCACACCAACAGGTTTAGCTCCTTGCTTGGGAGCTCCCTGAGGCTTTCCGGACAGGCTCCAATAGGAATGTCCTGTTATAACTGCACCTCCGTGCAGCAGCTGCTGACATAGTGCCCACCGTACGCCAAGCCCTGCCCTGCGTGCTTGGGATTTATCAGTGAACAAAAAACAAGCCCTGCCCGTCTGTATAGAGGGGAGGGTTTAGAACAGGCAGGAAGCTTGAAACATAAGGAAGCAACCGCTGCAGGCCCCAAGGAGTGCCCTGGTGGAGGTGGCTCAGCCCGGGGCACGCCCATGCACAGCACCGCGGTGAGGCCTGCAAGCGGACGCCCTGTCTTCCCGCCCTCAGAGGAACATGCGTTCTGTGCCAACCTGGAGCCTGTCCAGAGCAGCAGCAGCAGCGAGGGCCTGGCCAGAGCCCAGGGGCTCAGCAGCGAGGCTTCTGTGGAGAGCAATGAGGTGCGGATTCTCTCTCGTCCTCCCATAGCCGGTCCCTGGCTGGGATGCCTGACATCCCCCAGTTACTTTAAGATGAGAACGTCTGTAACAAGCACGTGCTACATGTGTGTGCCGCACTGGGACGTGCTGTGTCCAGGGCCTGGCTCCTCAGACGACAGTGAACGCACTGGAAGCCCCTGTGTGGCGGGTGGGGGGTTTCACCAAGGCTCTCCAGTCTGTGCGCTCCTTCAGATACATGGCTCTCACCGCAGGACTCGGACCACGCCTGTAAAAGCTCAGCTCGCAAACAAGCTAAAAGTTACATGAAGACCAAGAATCCTGACAGCCAGTGGCCTCCCCGCACTGGGACTGACAGGGAAGACTTTCCCCTTGAGTCCAGCCCCCAGACTCAGAGGACCCCCTACTCAGGACCGCAGGTAAGACCGCTTGTGAAACTGGAGGTTACACTCAGAGACGGCACTTTTTGTGACTTATGAGGCATGTGTTGTGTATATAACGTGCCAGGCTGCTTGGAGAACAGAATGGCAGCGGCGTCCCCATGGCCTGTTGGGCTCTGCAGGCTCACAGCCGGCTCCGTGGCTGGCGGCCCAGCTGCACGGCTTCTGCATTGTTCCAAGGACCTGTCTCCCTGCTTTCCATACTGGAGTTGGCTTCCCTGAGCCTGGGGAGAAGAAACACACACCTGACCTCAGAGCTGCCTGCAGGAGTCTGACGAGATGCGGTTGAAGCAGAGACAGGGACCGCACACGGTGTGTGCTTGGTGATGGTTACAGCTGCCACCATCCTCATCCTTGCTGTGGTCCCTCTGACCACGCATTACCTTAGGGATGACAGGTGTGACTCACAACTCAGCTGTCTCACCTGTGTCTGCTGAGTTCTCCTACCCTGTGCAGTCAGAAGAGACACGGAGAAGAGAGGCAGAGGGAAGCTCTGGTGGGTTATTTGTTTTTTTTTCTTTGAGATGGAGTCTGGCACTGTCATTGGGCTGGAGTGCAGTGGCGCGATCTCGGCTCACTACAACCTCCGCCTCCCGGGTTCAAGTGATTCTCCTGCCTCAGCCTCCCAAGTAGCTGGGATTACAGGCACGTGTCACCATGTCCGGCTAATTTTTTGTATTTTTAGTAGAGATGGGGTTTCACTGTGTTGGCCAGGCTGGTCTCAGGCTCCTGACCTTGTGATCTGCCTGCCTTGGCCTCTCAAAGTGCTGGGATTACATGCATGAGCCGCCACGCCCGGCCTGGCTGGTTATTTGTTAAAGCACCGGCTGTGCTGTTCAGTAGAGCCTTGCTATGCCGGCTTCTCCCTGCAGCCCCCGGCTCAGTGAGCAGGCGCACACCTCGGTCCCTTCAACATACACTGAGGGGAGTCTGGTCAGGGTAGTGTCCTAAGTATGTTTCTTTCAGAAAACAGCTTGAGGAAAATGGCAGAGTAACATTCGTTTCTCCATTAAAAGCAATAAACTCTCAAAAGTAGGATTTCTGGAGTTGAAAAGTAAACTAAAAGGAAAATATCACTAGATGGGCTCACAGCAGAATTGAGCAGGCAGAAGAATCAGAAAACTTGTGAACACAGGTCACCTGAGATCATCTCGCTTGAGGAACAGAAAGAAAGTGAAAAAAATGAACAGAAACCCATGACCCCCTGAAGCACGCTGACAGTGTCCACACAGTGGCATTGCAGAAGAAGAGAAAAGCAGAAATGACGGGTAAGACACAGCCTGGCCATCTCAGGTGAATCAGAAACACGGATCTTACATCCAGGGCGCTCGGTGAACTCCAGGCAGGTGAACTCGGAGAAGAGCTGCGCTTAGACAAGTGGAAATCAGAACGTCGGACACGGAGACTAGAATTAGAGAACAGCGCTCTCTGTGTACAAAGCATTGTCCAGACCAGCAGCTCCATCGCCCCTTCACAGAACTCAGCACGTGAGGCAGGAGGCGGCCAGTTTCTCGTGATGAACATACAGTGTCCCCAGGTGGCCAACCATAGTGTGAGGACTCACCTGCGTGCTACGTCCTGCCCTGCCTGAGGCACCAGAGTAGGAAGGGACAGCCTGGGGGCTACACACAGGCCCGGTCTTGGTGCTAAGCCTGGGGAAGCGGTGGGGCTCCAAGCGGAGGAAAATGGCTCTGCTTTGTCGTCGGCCACTACCTCCCCCAACCCGTCCCCTGTGCCTGCCAGGACCTGGCCACACTGCTGGAGCAGATCGGGTGTCTGAAGTACCTGCAGGTGTTTGAGGAGCAGGACGTGGACCTCCGCATCTTTCTGACCCTCACTGAGAGTGACCTGAAGGAAATCGGCATCACGTGCGTCCAGAAGGGGCTGCTCTGGCCCTCAGCCTGGGGTTGGGGCAAACTCCTGCTCATGTAAAGCGCTCCTCGGAGGCTGAAGCACGTCCTGGTCATGTTCCCCCTGCAGGCTGTTTGGGCCCAAGAGGAAAATGACGTCCGCCATTGCCCGCTGGCACAGCAGTGCCCGCCCGCCCGGGGACGCCCTGGAGCTGGCCTACGCTGACCGGCTGGAGGCTGAGATGCAGGAGCTCGCCATCCAGCTGCACAAGGTGAGTGGCTGTGGGTGGGGGATGGGGGGCAGGGCGACACCCCTGAGTTGGCCCCATCTCTGACAGATAAAGGTGGGCGCTGTGTGGAGGGGTCAGGTGGATGCAAGGGGAGAGGCCGCAGAGGACAGGGCTGTGGCCAGGGGTTTGGCTTGCCCGGCTACCTCCCAGCCTCCCGCCCCCCTGCAGCGCTGCGAGGAGGTAGAGGCCATGCGGGGCCAGGTGTGCCAGGAGCAGGAGCTGCGTGCCGTGGTGGAGAGCTGCCTGCTGGAGCAGGACCGTGCCCGCGAGGACCTCCAGGCCCACCTGCAGGAGACGTGGGCCCTGGCCCGGGACGCTGCCCTTGTCCTGGACCAGTTGCGGTGAGTGGCTCTGAGCTGGCCTGGGCTGGGTGTCCAGTGGTCAGCCGCGTGGCCCCTGGGCCCCCAGACATCTTTTCCTCCTGATTTTGTAACTGAGAGGTGGATTTCAGCGCCTGGAGCCACCCCCACATTTCATCCAGGCCCTTCCTTCCTGCAGGCAGAGCCAGGCAGCAGTCGGGGTCGGGAATCTGCACCGCTCTCCCTCCTGCTCTTTAGCACAGCTTCATGGGGCACTGGGCCAGCTCACGAAGGCCAGCTGCAGGGACAGGGCAGAGCCCCTCCCTCCCCTTGAAGGTCTGAGGTGGGGGCTCTGCGGCGGCCAGGCCTCTGCCCTCACCAGCACTTGTTCCTGTGTCTGGTAGAGCCTGTCAAGCTGAGCTGTCATCCCGAGTGAGGCGGGACCATCCCCCTGGTGCAGCCACCCTGGGCCCAGGCCTCCCCGCAGCTGGTAAGAGCAGCGGCCTGACTCCGCACTGGGCAGAGGAGAAAGCGGGGAGCCCTGAAGCGGGGTTTGACCCAGTGGGTTTGGCCTGGTTCTCTGGCCGGCAGCCACTCTCCAGGTCCCTGTGTGCACATGATCCCAGAGTCCAAGGAGAGGGGCCCCTGGGCACCCAAGCCCACTTCCTCACCTGTGACGGGAAAACCGCCTACCCCAGGGGTGGGAGGCACTGTGCCATGGCTGCCTGTGCTGTGCTGAGACCGCCAGTGACTCCTGCAGCCTCCAGCCAGGGCCCAGACCTGGGTCCCCACCGGCACAGCTTTGTCTTCTCTTGGGCTGACCTGGGCCTCGTAGTGTTTGCTTAGCCCGTGGGAGGAAGGGCACAACAGGGCTCCCCAGCCTCGGCCCTAGGAGGTCGCTTCGACACTGCCAGGCGGGTGGGGAGGCTCTGATCCAAGCAGCTTCTCCTGGTTGCATGGGCTCAGAATAAAGCAGGGCCTGTGGGGATACAGACCCACAGCTATCTCCATCCTGCACCACAGACGCCAAGGGATGGCAAGTGTCCCTGCAGGCCATGAGCCTCCCCGAGCTCTCGGGAGCCCTGGAGGACCGTGTCCACGAGATGGGTGAGTCTCCGGGGACCAGACTTTGCTGAAGACTAAGAGCTCCTTGTTTCCAAGGGAGGCAGAGGGACCCCTTTCCAGGGAAAGCAAGTTTGAGTCCCTCTACCCCAAGGCTGACCTCGGGGCTGTGGCCATGACAGCTGAGGGGCAGGTCACATCCTGCAGCTCAGAGCCCTGGGCAGCACTACCCAGTTCTACCAAGCCTGGGAGGGAGAGGCTCAAGGTCATCGTTCCTCAGGGCAAGCACTGTGCTCAGTGACCCAGAGCCTGGAGAAGCTGCAGGTGCTGAACGGGAAGAAGTGGCGGGAGCCCTAGCCCGCGGGCCGGTGAGTGTCTGCCAGCCTGCATCCCACGTGGCGGGAGCAGCAGGGCCTGTCTGGGCAGCTGCAGGTGTGCGTATGCACCCACCTGTCCCCCTCTCTTCTTACCAGGGCTTTTTCTTTCAGAATCTGACGTTGGGTGATTGGTCCACCCTGAAGCTGTGTGCCAGGGAGTGAAGAGGACAGTAAGCAGGCAGCTGCCACGTGCAGCCCAGGCCCAGTGGGGGCCAGAGGATCAGGCCCCGGGAGCAGCCGGCAGACAGAGGCAAGACAGGGGCTGCGGCCCTGGCCGAGCAGCTCGGGCCAGCACTGAGGCGGGACGAGGGTCTCACCCAGAACCTGGTGGTGAGGCCCAGAGTTCATGGGCTGCCCTGGCCCAGACCAGGCAGGGCCCTGGGGGAAAAGTATATCCATACACACACACAGGTGCCAACTGAGGTGTGACCTTAGGGGTGAGGACTGGGGCGCCTCGAAAATGCCATTTGTTGGAAAATAAAATTGAACAGCTAGTGAAGGGCTCAGTTCTGGTCACATGACATGAGGCCCTGGCCAGTGCAGCAACCGTGACTGCCCTGTCCCCTGCTGCTCGGGAGCGCCTTTGCTCCTGGAGCCCACGTGACTCAAGACAAGGCTTCGAGAGCCAAGAATATCCCTGGCCCGCCATAGGACAGGGCCTCCCCCGACATGTTGCCCTCACACCGAGCGCTGAGATGGCGCTGGGAACACCACCTCCCTCACCAGGCCAGGCATGGGCTGTGAACATTTTCTGACGATGCCACTGGAGTCTTTCCAGATGTGAGGCTGTAGGAGACCACGAGGGATGGCTCTGCTGCTGTCCTTCTGCACAGTAAGCCTGCACTGCTACACCAGCCCCTGGAGCTGCTTGCAGATGGTGGTGTAGGGCGGGTTTGCAAAGCAGGTCAGCTCAGGTGCAGCCAGGGCCATCAGGATCAGGAAGGGGAGCCTGCCCTGAAGGTCTCAGCCCAGATACCCCAACCTGGCTGATGGGCACAGCGCTTATGCTGGGAGTGCCCCCAGTCAGCACTGGGGACAAACATGCCTCCGGCTGGGGCGGCTCCTCCCTCCCCCTAGGGCAGGAGGCCGGAGCTGGCTCCATCCAGAACCGCAACACACAGAGTAGCTGAGAACCACACAGAGCAGCTGAGGAGTGACTTTATTGTCTTCTCCTTCGACAGCTTCGTCGTACATAGCTGGGCCCCCGAGGCCCTGACTGTCCCTGGGAACCAAGCCACGTGGGGTGAAGCTACTTTGAAACCTCACCCACAGTTCACACGTGGTGAAAGAGAAAATCTAGCAAAGTAAATCCAACAACAACCCAAATTAACAGTATTAACTTCCTACCCCAAGTTGGCTCTCCCCCAGGCTCTGAGCTGGCTCAGGAAGGAGGCAGGAATGCTGACCTAGACGAGGCATCCTCCACCCACACATCCCGTCTTCCGAGTGGCCCTGGAGCTGTGCGCAGTCCCTGTGGGCCTCCACCAGCCGGGATGAGACACACACACAGAGGAGGGTCTGAGCCTGGGATGAACAAGAGCATCCTGAGGCTAGAGAGGCAGGCCCAGCGTGCCCAGACCACCCTGCTCTGCCTGAGAGGATGGGCTGGGTCCCAGCTGGCCTGGCCACCACCTAGTGACTGCTTGGGACAGTGGAGATGACAGGATACCCCTTTGCCCTAGGCAGTCAGAAGTGGGGTACACACACACACTCTGGAAGCCACACTTGGCAGGAATTCCCAGTCTTCCGGCCCAGGGGAGGGTGCCAGCAGCCCAGGCAGCCCTCAGGACGAGGCTGGGAGCAACTTCTCCAGGGCCTTCTTCTGCTTCTCGGTGGCCGCAGCCAGGGCCTCAGCCAGCTTCTCCTCAGGCATCATGTTGAGCACCTTGAGGGCAAAGAGGAGCTGGCACTTAGCCGTGCTCACAAAGGCGTTGCTCAGGAAGTTGGGGAAGCCTCCGACTCGGTCCTTCTGGGTGTACAGCGGGACCCGCACGAGGCCCAGCACCTGTGCAGACAGGAGGTAGGGGTTGGGGCCAGGCCTGCCACGCAATGGCACCCCCGGCAGGAGGGGCCTGGAAGCTAGGAGGCCAGGGTACGAGCAGCCAGCTTTGCCAAGGACTTAATGGGAGACCCAGGCAGGACCTGGCAGAAGCCAACCAGCTCCCTTGGAGCAGTGCAGCCCCCTCCTCCCCAAGCAAGTGTGGAGGCTGACCCCATGCACTTTCCCCTCGTACCTCGGCCACCACCCGGGGTCCACACCCCATGCTTCCCGTCCACCCAACGAAGCCTGAACACCTGGAGTCCAACCCTTCCAGACCACAAAACACAAATCCCAAGAGCCTTCACGCCCCCCATGAGGTTCCCAAGTTTTACGACCCCCGCTGTGCTCAAGTTTCCCAACTCCCCAAGCAAGCCCCGCTCCTCCCCCATCCCTTCC